AAACACTGACAACTGCGTTTTTGTGCCGGATTGTAGTAGCATTTTAGGAACGTTAGTGTTTTATTAGCGTTTTTACAGTACATGAAGAAAAAAAAGATTGAAAAAAGCTGTGAGGAGCGTTTTAGTAGCATTTAGAAGCATTTAGGAGCATTTAAGAGCATACAGCATTTTTTTCTGCCAGGAAAACATTGCCAAAAACTCTAACAAAAATTTCAACAAAATTATAACAAAATTTTTCTGCTCCTAAACGCTAAAGCTTGAAAAACGCTTCTAGCATAAAATAGTGTGCATGGACACATAAGATAACAGTATTAGCTTCTAGGAGCAGGGAAAAAATGCTTATAATAGCTATAGGAGCCATAATGCTTGCCTACGCTATACAAAACATAACAAAGTTTGATACATGCAATGCAAATATGATACCCTACTCTGTGTAGAAAAGGAAGCTATCCCTAATTGATTACTGTGATTTTCTTACATGTTTGAAAATCTGAGCATGTTCTAAGAGTCGATTTTTCAGCTTGTGGATTTGTAGCCCATTGTAGCCCATTGTTTTGTATGTCCTCCTTCATAGGATGACCATATGTACCCATTGAACTATTAGGCCAACAAAAAAAAGGGGTCCTTATTGAAGACTACAAAGTAAGGGTAAAGTCAGAGCTCCCAATATAAATAGTTATCCACAGTTAGTGACTCAAGGGCTACCGAAGCTATTAAAAAGCATGAAAGCTAAACAACTAGAACTAGAATTCAGCAATGGTAGCAACCATATTGTATTAGCACAGCTTTCCTTTAAAGAGGAACTGAACTCTGGAAAGCATTCCCAAAAAAGGCAGACAGAGGGCAAAGGACTGGTCTTCCTGCAGCTGTTCTTTCCTTGTTACTTTGCTTCCTAATGTTAAAGCCTCCAGCAAGGAGAACAGGAAGCAGCACAGTAGTGACATCAACACCAAATCTCATCAAAATGTCCCAAGACTAGCAGTCAGAGACAGCAGAACCTTAAATCTCACATTGCATATATACGTCTATAAAAGCTGTGAGTACAGGAGTGCCTAGGCTCCTTTATACACCAAGAAATGAACTATTTTCCAGATAGAATTTCACACAAAAGGTAATTTTTCAGAGCACTGATTAGGCACAATTAATAATTCTAAATGTTTCCTATAAGATAGCAATTCTTCACTTTTTGAGTTTGCTAATGAACAGAATACCTGGCATTGAGAAAATTGGGGATTCACAGCAATCATGTGCTCAATCTCAATCATTTCATTATAGCGCCATTCCTATTCTGGACAAATGATCTGTTCATCTCTATTGTGCATACACTGGTTATTCTTTTGTAAAAAAAAAATCTGATCTTTGGCTGTTCTCCAAATAACTACAGATCATTTATACGTTCAACAGTCTATTTCTGCCAGCTTCAACGATATTTTCTTTTGTGGTTTCTAGATATAGTCTTTTAAACCTGTCAAAGTGCAGAGTGAAAGCATCAGTTCAGTAACTTTGTCCAGCTGTCAAGTGTCCTCACAATCTCAGTGGTTTCAAAATCTGAGATAAGAACATTTATAATATGCTAGAAAAAATATTGGCCTAGAGAACAGGTTTTAATTTTCCATGAAGTTTTTGTAGCAACCAGTCTTTACAAATACATTGAATAATTAATGGAATAAATTATCTTACCCTAAAGAGATCCTCTGTTTTGCCTATGCAGGGCAAACAATAGGTTTGCTTCACTTTCATCCTCACTTGCAGCACACGTTTTACTCAGCCACCTCTCTATTCAACCACAAGATGCATGGAAGGAAGTCCTTTGCAAGCTTCAAGTCACTCTAGTCAGAGCTTACACAGGACTGAAACCTCTCTTCCCACCCACATGTGACAGCTACGGGTGAATGAAAAAGCATCAGCACTGTCATACCAGGAAAAGGTGTAAAGCTAGCCATAGACAGTTAGTTTTTTATTTTGTTCAGTAAGTGGGCTGACCAAAAAAAATTCCTCCATCCACACAAATAAGGTGGATGGTGGTATCCCCTCAGCTGGGACAATGTTTTCTGATACACTGATCAGTGGCTGCAGCTGCTGATTTCGAAAAGTATTCAGCGTGTCCTTTAACTACTTCCCGCCCGGCCTATAGTCAAATGATGACTGGGCGAACCTCTTGTCCCTCCAGGAGGGCGTCATATGACGGCTTTCCCGGAATGCGCTTCACGCGTGCCCGCAGGGCCGCACTGTGGCGAGATCTGCCACCGGCAGTGTACCTCGAACGCGACTGATGACAGGTCTGTGTACCGGCCCCGTTGCCAGTACCATGTGACTTGCTGTGACCAATCACACCAGGTCACATGACAGTTGTATACAATGCATAGCTTCCTTTCATGCCATCCATTGTATACAAGTGTGTCTAGCTGTGAATGGTCACAGTGATCACATGCACAGGCTGGGTCAGGCACAGCCCATCTGTGTCAGGTGATTAGCAGTAGCAAATCACAGCTAATCACAACAAAAAAAAGCTGAATGAATCAATTTCATTCACTTAAATGCTTGCTTATAGCAAAGAAATTGTGTAAAAAAAAAAACACTGATTACTTCCCCAAAGTAGTAAAATGTTACTATGGTAACATTATACTACTTTGGTCATAGTGTAATATAAAAAAAAAAACCTTAAAAAAAAGAAAACAATTTAATAAAAAAATAAATAAAAGAAACATTTAAAAAAAATGATCAGTTTGTTTTTTTTCATACTGTCACCAGTCAGTGACCCTGATCAGCACCACACCGCCACACCAGTTATATGACGACGCTGTATTGCACTGGTGACAAAAAAAATTTGTGAAAATAATTTTTTTAATTTCTTAATTTTTCAAAAAATTATAACAAAAAAATTACAACTTCAAAAAACTCACCATGCCTCTTATGAAATATGTTGGACTGTCTAATTTGCAAAAAGGGGTCATTTGGGGGATATCTGTACTGTTCTGACATTTTTGGGCCTCAAGAAATTAGATTGACTGTCAGTACTTCAGGGTTGACTAATTTTCAGATATATCCCATAGTTTGTGAACTCCATAACTTTCCTACAGACTAAATAATAAACACTTATTTGGGTTATTTTCACCAAAGAAATGTAGCAGAATACATCTCGGCCTAAATATATGAAGAACAATTATTTATTTGCAAACTTTTATAGGAGAAACAAAAAAAGTGATTATTTTTCAAAATTTTTAAAATTTAATTTAGCAAACAATTTAGCAAAAAATAAAAAACCCAGCGGTGATTAAATACCACCAAAAGAAAGCTCTAGTTGTGTGAACAAAATGATAAAATGTTAGTTTAAGTACAGTGTTGCATGACAATTGTCATTCAAAGTGTGAGAGCGCTGATACCTGAAAATTGTCTTGGGCAGGAAGGGGGTAAACGTGCCCTGTATGGAAGTGGTTAACAAAAGTTGATCAGTGATCAACTTCTGCTGAGCAGAGAGGACTGAACACTGATCAAAATTCATCCATTCCCTACCGAAGTAACTGAATTTTGATCAGGGCATGGTCAGCTATCAGTGTAAAGTATATGCTCCTCCATATCTGAAAATAAAGGAATATTCTCCTATTAGGTGGCTGATGGAAGGGGCAAAGGAGCAAGGCAAAGGTTAGTGTGTGATGCTGGGGAGGAGGGCATTAATGTACATTGGTTCTTCCTTGTGTGGGCAAAGCACAGATCTGCTTTAAGCCTAGGTTCACACTAGAACGAGGTGTTGGAAACAGGTGATCCATGAATGTTTCCTGTATCACATTCAAAACGTGCTGCCCTTGTGATCTGCACCATGTGTCAGTGCAATCTTAACAACAGTGCAAGTTGCAAATGCACTGTGTTTACCTGCACCAGATCACATGGTACAAAATAACCATATGATCCACGTGCAGTGCAGGTCCAAAATTGGAGCATACCTGACTTTGGTGTGATGCAGTGCGTTTTGAGCCCATTCAAAATGAATGGGCTCAAATTGCACCTCACTGAATCACATGTGCATTGAACAGGAAGGCAATAGAAATGAGACATACCTGTGCTCAAATCCCAATAAATCCGTTTCGGAGGTAAAAAAAAAAGTAAAAAAAGGCTTATCTGTTCAAAAGTCTTTATAAGGTGCACATTGAAGGCATAAATACTGTACAGGGACATGATTAAAAAAAATTTGTAAATGCATTGAAAACCAATTAATCCGTTCCTGAGGTCAGAAAAAAGTAAAAAAAAAGTCTTATCTGTTCAAAAGTCTTTCTAAAGTGCACTTTAAAGGCAAGGGGCCGGCGCTATAAACCTCCCAGGTACAATGCATCCTGGGGAAGCTTACTTCGTGTTGCGAAAAAAATTAGTAAACCGAGGCATTATTTTCAATGGATTTTCATTCGTAAACCGAAAATTATGTTAACCGAGGCGTTCGTAAACCGAGGTACACCTGTAATCCTTTTACAGCCAGTCCCTAACCAGCTCTGCAAAATGCAAATGCTACAGCGGACATGGTGTAAATATGGGGCAAATAGACATACCGTATTTTTCGCTCCATAAGACGCACTTTTTTCCCCCAAAAAAAGGGGGGAAAATGTCAGTGCGTCTTATGGAGTGAATATGGAGCGGTCGGTTCGGTATTTCTGCCGCCACCATGTCAGAATATCGGGCCGGCCGCTCATCTCTTTTCTCCTGCAGAACCTTACCTGTTCCTCACTCCAGCGCTGTACAGTCTTCCCGCGTCGGCTTCTGTGACAGCCGGGTGCCCACTGCGCATGCGCGAGAAGTGCTGCGCTTTGTGAATGGTCCGGTGTCTTCTGGGACACATGACAGGTCCCAGAAGGCGCCGGGCCATTCACAAAGCGCAGTGCTTCTCATGCATGCGCAGTGGGCACCTGGTTGTCACAGCAGCCGGCGCGGGAAGAAGAGGGAAGGACAACTCCGCGGTAGTGGGAGCAGGTACATGTCAAATTTAGGTACCTGCTCCCCCTCCCTCCCCAAAGGTCCACAGTCTCTGGTCATCCCCTGCACTGTCTGCAGTCTCTGGTCATCTGTACTATGTCCACAGTCTCTGGTCATTCCCTGTACTGTGTCCACAGTCTCTGGTCATCTGTACTATGTCCACAGTCTCTGGTCATTCCCTGTACTGTGTCCGCAGTCTCTGGTCATCTGTACTATGTCCACGGTCTCTGGTCATTCCCTGTACTGTGTCCGCATCTGTCTATGTCCACGGTCTGGTCATCTCCTGTACTGTGTCCGCAGTCTCTGGTCATCTCCTGCACTGTGTCCGCAGTCTGGTCATCTCCTGCACTGTGTCCGCAGTCTCTGGTCATATCCTGCACTGTGTCTGCAGTCTCTGGTCATCTCCTGTACTGGGTCCGCAGTATCTGGTCATCCCCTGTACTGTGTCTGCAGTCTCTGGTCATCTCCTGTACTGTGTCTGCAGTCTCTGGTCATCTCCTGTACTGTGTCCGCAGTCTCTGGTCATCCCCTGTACTGTGTCTGCAGTCTCTGGTCATCTCCTGTACTGTGTCCGCAGTCTCTGGTCATCTCCTATACTGTGTCCGCAGTCTCTGGTCATCTCCTGTACTGTGTCCGCAGTCTCTGGTCATCTCCTGTACTATGTCCGCAGCCTCTGATCATCTCCTGTACTGTGTCCGCAGTCTCTGGTCATCTCCTGTAGTATGTCCGCAGTCTCTGGTCATCTCCTGTACTGTGTCCGCAGTCTCTGGTCATCTCCTGTACTATGTCCACAGTCTCTGGTCATCTCCTGTACTGTGTCCGCAGTCTCTGGTCATTTCCTGTACTATGTCTGCAGTCCATTGGTTCAGAATATTTTTTTTCTTTTTTTCCGCCTCTAAAATCTAGGTGCGTCTTATGGTCAGGTGCGTCTTATGGAGCACAAAATACAGTAAGGTGAAGGAGAGCTACAGGTTCAGGTTTGGCTACTGACCTGCAATGCAATAGAAATTAGGATATACCTGTGCTCGAATCCCAATGGTGGGTACATGTATATAATCCAACATTGAACAGGAATGCGATGCGTTCCTATATGATTCACTTGTGGTTCATAGTGTGAATAGAGGCTAAGACAAAGACTCACCTCGAAACCTCTTTTAATATTGCATTTGTTTTTATATAATATATTTTATTTTATAAATGTTTTTATTTCACGAACCAATGGGGCAAAATATTTAAAATTGATTAGAGAAAAGGTGGACAGCTAGTGATTTAATTTTATATTTATGAATGCCAGCAATCACAGTATATTTTAGAGGACTTTCAATTTCTTTTTCTATTGTTATAAGTTAAGCTGTCATTGAGTGTTGTGTTTGACAGTTAATAACTGTAAAATATATCATTTTAATAAGGGAAGAAAAAGCTCCATTTTTGCTAAACTATTTTGTTGCTATCTATGTAACAGATACTAAGACAGAATACATTAACAAGAATGTTCCATTCCTTCAATAAAGAAATACTTTTATATAGGAAAATGTCTTGGCAGACAAACTGAGACTGCCAGATGGAATAGTTTGTGCCACATAAATTATAAACTGTTGTGATTTTTTTTTATTCATTCTGGTGTCCTAAAGTTCCATCTGTCTGCCTTTACTAATAAATATCTGATCATATTATTGCAGAGGTAAACTTTTCCATGTGTATTAAAGAACTACTAAGCTGGGAATGCCTGTCGCTATATAATAGAAGAATCTGAGTCACATCAATTCTGTTTACATCTCACAGATTTAAGAAGAGACCAAATTAAAATAAATCTATGAACATGAGGAATTTTATTCTTAGTAGTACTGGACTTTTTCTTTAAAGAGTACCAGTCATAACCAGGTTTATAAAATAATCGGAAAATTTATATCCCAGAAGGATATGGTAAAGAGGGACTAAAGGCAACAAAGGCATAATTTGCATGGATCCACTCACTGTCCTGGAATGAAGAATGACTCCCTTATATTTGACATATGTGATATAATGAGACCTGTTTCTAGAAGAATCTACTGTGCTACAGTATCTCCCAGAAGTGAGTACACCCCTCACATTTTTGTAAATATTTTATTATATTTTTTCATGTGACAACACTGGAGAAATGACACTTTGCTACAAAGTAAAGTAGTGAGCGTACAGCTTGCATAACAGTGTAAATTTTCTGTCCCCTCAAAATAACTCAACACAGAGCCATTAATGTCTAAACCGCTGGCAACAAAAGTGAGTTCGCCCCTAAGTGAAAATGTCCATATTGGGCCGAATTAGCCATTTTCCCTCTCCGGTGTCATGTGACTCATTAGTGTTACAAGATCTCAGGTGTGAATGGGGAGCAGGTGTGTTAAATTTAGTGTTATCGATCTCACTCTCTCATACTGGTCACTGGAAGTTCAATATGGTACCTCATAGCAAAGAACTCTCTGAGAATCTGAAAAAAAGAATTGTTGCTCTACATAAAGATGGCCTAGGCTATAAGAAGATCACCAAGACCCTGAAACTGAGCTGCAGCATAGTGGCCAAGACCAGCGGTTTAACAGGACAGGTTCCACTCAGAACAGGCCTCGCCATGGTCGACCAAAGAAGTTGAGTTCACATGCTCAGCGTCATATCCAGAGGTTGTCTTTGGGAAATAGATGTATGAGTGCTGCCAGCATTGCTGCAGAGGTTGAAGGGGTGGGGGGGGTCAGACCATACGCTGCACACTGCATCAAATTGGTCTGCATGGCTGTCATCCCAGAAGGAAGCCTCTTCTAAAGATGATGCACAAGAAAGCCCACAAACAGTTTGCTGAAGACAAGCAGACTAAGGACATGGATTACTGGAATCATGTCCTGTGGTCTGATGAGACCAAGATATACTTATTTGATTCAGATGGTATCAAGCGTGTGTGGCGGCAACCAGATGAGGAGTACAAAGACAAGTGTGTCTTGCCTACAGTCAAGCATGTTGGTGGGAGTGTCATGGTCTGGGGCTGCATGAGTGCTGCCAGCACTGGGGAGCTACAGTTAAATGAGGGAGCCATGAATGCCAACATGTACTGTGACATAATGAAACAGAGCATGATCCCCTCCCTTTGGAGACTGGGCCGCCAAGCAGTATTCCAATATGATAATGACCCCAAACACACCTCCAAGATGACCACTGCCTTGATAAAGAAGCTGAGGGTAAAGGACATGGACTGGCAAAGCATGTCTCCATGTCTAAACCCTATTGAGCATCTGTGGGGCATCCTCAAATAGAAGGTGGGGGAGGGCAAGGTCTCTAACATCCACCAGCTCCGTGATGTCGTCATAGAGGAGTGGAAGAGGACTCCACTGGCAACCTGTAAGCTCTGGTGAACTCCATGCCCAAGAGGGTTAAGGCAGTGCTGGAAAATAATGGTGGCCACACAAAATATTGACACTTTGGACCCATTTTGGACATATTCACTTAGGGGTGTACTCACTTTTGTTGCCAGCGGTTAGACATTAATGGCTGTGTGTTGGGTTATTTTGAGGGGACAGCAAATTTACACTGTGATACATGCTCTACACTATGGGAGATACTGTAAGTGGAGACTTATGAGAACTTCAGATTTCCATCACTCTTGAAGCTTTACATTTTTGCTGCACTTTTTCATTTTGCACTTTAGTAAACTGGACTTGCAGTCTATCAGATTACCATGTAATATAGTTAATTTGGATGAAAAATGATATGTGCAAGCTCAGCTCAGCTCAGTTCAACTTGGAGAACACAATACCTCCTCTGCAGGGAGGATTCCTCCATCAACAATGACTGCTGATGGAGAAATCAAGCAATTTTCTTTCCTGCAGCCCGTGGTTGCAGGAAAGAAAATCACATCATCTATGGCTGGCTTTAAGGATGTGGATGTCCTAGGATGACCATTTTCCTCTATACCACCAAATCGCTTCTGCAAAGAAACCAGTATTAACTTCAGTTGGAATTTTTATTTCATAAGCAAGTCCGATTATATTGCATCATTTGTAACACTGAAATGCAATATCAGTACCTTGATTCTGTAAAGTCTCCTTGCCCAGTGTTAGGTAAATGCTCCCAAAATGATATGAGTAACATGGTCCTTAATTGGACACCCACCAATACCTGGGACTATACCTGCATAAAATTTTTATGTTTTCACTATATTTGCGTAAATTTATCCTCCGATGCTTAAAGCACACTTTCAGATTATTTGGTTTCCTTTGCCATTATGGTGAGTGAGACTGTAGTAGGGACATTATATTATTGGCCCCTTTGGGCAGGAACCCATGGGTCAATATGCTGTGCATATTTTAGCTAGGCAAATAAGTAAAATTCATTTGTGTGACTCATTACATGGAACCTATCAGTTTAAATTTTTTTTTTTGCTTTAATTTTGTTTATTTAGTTGTTTCAGTTAAGTGAATATATGAAGCCTTATTTTCTACAGTGGAAGGTGATTTGAAGTGAAGAGGAAAACTCCATGTATGTGCAGGGCAATTTAAAAACATGGCACTTCTTTTGCCCATGATTGGATATTTTATCTTTTCCTTTTCCCTTTTTGACATTACACTCAAGTAAATCAGGCCCATGCACTCTTGCAAGGTTTCAGGTCCACTGCAGGCCTATGTATTTGCGCACAGAGCATGTCATAATATCTATGCAACTGGTCTGTTTTTCTGCTTAGCTATACTAATATGCTGTTTGTAACTTTAAGGGACACTATAATGTTTCAGGATCTGTCTAAATAAAAAATTTTTATATTTAATTATTTTAAAATAAATATTTTCAGGTTTATTTTAAGAAAAATGTTTAAAAATGGCAAAGTATTATCAGAAGCAGAAGCTGCCTGTCTTTCGCCTGGTTTTGTCTGACTGAAACCGCAATGTTTTCCCATAAAGGATGAGCCCCTTCTCTGAATTCTTTACTTGAGTGTGTAAATCACAGCTTTAGCTATTTAGCTCTGTAAAAGAAAACAAATATATATTATTTGTCATGACCATGATAAATAAGAAAAATATATACAACACCTCTATACATCTCCTTTACGATAGACAGTACAGTTGCTTAATGGTTAGGACATAAGCCTTGCAGTGCTGGGATTCTCAATTCGAATCCCGTGGAGTTTGTATGTTTTCCCTTGGCTCACTGTCTCACAGTTTCTTCCTAAACTTCAATGACAAGTTGGTAGGGTAATTGGCTCCTTTCCAAACTGGCCCTAATGTATGTTTATGTATGCATGTAAATAGGGACTTTAGTTTGCAAGCTGCTACTGAAGTGAATGTACAGTAACGTGCTGTGTAAATTGCTGATGCTATATATATGCCTATAATAAATATAACCAACTTTCACTGTAGTGCAGGCTAAATGTAGACATCAACAATAGTAGGCCTTAAGATGCATCTGTAAAGTTGCGTCCTTATGCCTAAATTAGTGGTTACCATGCGTAGTAAGTGATATGTATTTTTATATAACAATCATAAAGGTTTGAAAAGGTTTTATAAAACATACAAATCCGTTATGCATCTGACCATGATTTGTTGTTATGTTCACTGTATAAGATTCCTTGCTCTCTTAACATGCAATTTTTTTCTAAATGCAAATGGAAGCAGCTAGCATTTCACTTACATTATACCATTTTATAAACAGTTTTAACACAAAGCAGGCTTAGGTAATACTCAGTCATAAAGATTCCTTGGCTAGAAATATTTTGTCTCTTTTTCTTTATTGTAGTAATATTATCAGTCATATTTATAATAAAATGAATAGTA